CCGCCGCCATCCACGCTCAGGCCGGGGGCCACTTCCGGTGCCGCCGCGACCGCTTCCCGCTCTGCCCCCGCCCCACAGCGCCACCCCGCGGCCTGGAGTCGCAGCGCCGCGCAGCCCCCGCCGGCCTCTGCTTGAAGTCCCCAGTTCTCCCCACTTGCAAATGGCGTCACAACCCGGCGGGAGGGCCACTAAAGGGTCCCCGAGGGGTGGCCAATGAGCCAGACCATCGGGTCACTCCAGGCCACTGCCCCCCGCGGACGAGCAGCCCTGACTCCACCCCCAGCCCTCCCGTGGCACCTCTGGCTCTTGCCCCACCAGGCCTGGGCCGCCCCACCTATCCCCTCTCTGCCTCCTCTGGCCATCTAAAGGGCAGGCAAGAGACTAGCTGGGACAGCACTGGATGGAGGCCAGCTGCTAGAGCCCAGGGGGTGCTGGCCTAGTCCTGAGAGGGATTTCCCGAGGGGACGGGATTTGGAACATGGAGTTTGGAGTTTGGGGGGATGATGCTCCCCATCAGTGCTCCTCCATACACGGAAGGATTAAGAACCCTCTCTCTCCCTGCTGGCTAAGGGAAGGGGTAGCAGAGAACTGCCTGGCCCGAGAACCCTGACATTTATTAGATTCATTCTCTCCCCCTTCCCTCCATTCCCCACCCATCCTCCCCTGCTTCCCCAGCCCCTCAAGGCTAAGCCAGCTCCAGCTGGCAGCTTTTGAGTGGACTAAGGGTGCGGTTTGTGGTTCGGGTGAAGGTGTCCACCTCAGGCACAAACTTCTCAGCAGGCACAGTCAGCTTGCGTCGGGTGTCCATGCACTTGGTGTCCAACAGCATGGAGTTGGCCTCGCAGGCAATGTCAGCCTGCAGCCGGGCCAGGTGCTTGTCCAGGGCGTCCAGAGCGTCCCTGGGGAGGAGGCAGTGACAACCCACCACCCCTGCATGAGGCTAGGAGGTCTGGGCCCAATGCACCAGCCTAAAGCCCAGGAGAACCAGCAGGTGGCACCACTGGTGGGTGGTGTCTCCCTGCCCCTCCTGCCCACTCCCCAAACCTACTGTGCTTGTGCCAGCTTCTGCCTCAGGGCAGTGATGGTTGCCTCTAACTGGTGAACCTCGTCGGTGAGGCCGTACTGTGCCTGGAGGCAGAGGGACAGGTTAGGTGTTCCATGTCATCTGCACAGTCCTTTAGTCTGTGGGCCTGAGTGCTGCCCTTTACTAGCACACTGGCTCCTCTAGGAGTATGTGCTGGAGGGTGCTACTGAAAACCTTAGCAGGAGGCCTGTTCCCCACTGGGATCTCCTCGCACCTGATCCTGGCAGAGTTCCACATTGGGCCGGTAGGTTCTGGACTCCATCCGGGTATGGGCCAGCTTCAGATTCAGTAACTTTCTGCGGAGATCCTCCTCCAGGTGCCGGATATCCTCCTGCAGCTCAGCGATCTCATCCAAGGTCTGCAGGGGACAGAGGTACTGGTGTCCACCAGCTGAACTCACCACGGTGCAGTCAGTCTAGGGCTCCCAGGCAGGGCATCTGGTTCCTCATCACACAGCAAGAAGTCCAGGCCCAAGGAGAAGGCTCACATTCTTCTCTTGCCACTTGAGCTCACTGTACACTTTCTCCATCTCTCGCAACCGCTTCCTGAAGGCAAACTCCGTTGCAACCCTCTGGGCTTCAAGTTCATTGTTGGTCTGAAAGACAGGAAGTAGGAAGGGCAAGGGGAAGGTATAAGCTCATGGCCATCTGAGGATATTGCTCTGGTGAGGGGAAGGGGTACCAAATGGTCAATAGGGAACAACGGATAAGGACTGAATGTACACTGCGCCACCCATTAGCTCTGAAGGAGCAGTCTGGGGGGTGGCCAGTCACCTCAGCAATCGTTAGGGCAATGGCCTCCCTCAGATCCGTGGCTGCTTTCATCTCAGCCTCTGCTCGGTTCTTGTTGAACTGACTGAAGTCGTCCCATTGCTGGAGTGTGGTAGAGCTGCAAGTGGCAGGAAATAATGGGGTCATAAGGGTATATGGCCTATGACGAGAGGAGGAAAGACTGGTTGAAACTTTCTTCTTACCCACTGGGGACACGTGTGGGATTGACCTTCAGAGAGATGTTTGGGGAATTGAGGTTGAGAGAGGAGCAGCCTCTGTCAATATCCAATGTCTCCATTTTGCCCCGATGGTCAGAGTTGAGCTGCTGCTGGACTTCCTGCAGGAGGCTGGGGAAAGAGCAGACTGGATCAGGAACTATCCCCCAAAGCTCCAGCATGTGGGCCTCACTGTACTGAGGGGACACTGAGGAGTGGGGAGCTGGAAGACTTCCCAGCAGAAGATAATGGTGCTGCTGCTGGCTGAGACAAAGAGCAGCACAGCTGGATGAGCTTCCTGCAGACAGAATTGTGACACCCAAGTGCTACACTCAACCACAGGCACATGTGTAGCTACGCTTACAAAGGCTCACATACACCGTCACAATAAGGTACTCAGAGGTGGTGGCAAATGGACTTCATGGCTCATGCTTCCAGACAACTGATACAGGCTGCCTAAAGAAGGATGGTGAGAAGGATTCTGAGACCACGTCCAGGCAGCGAAAAGGTGCTACAATCAATTAGTAGTTCCTGCCATGGGCACAGGAGGGGCAGTTACTCATTACCCACAATGCCTGTGTTCCATGTGGAAGACACAAAGCCTGCAAGTGCATGGGAATGCACGAATGACCCATCCCTCCCTCACCAGAGCTGCTCGAAGGCCTGGCTGATTTTCTGCTCCAATGCCTTCTTGGTGGCCTCAATGACCTCCACCTCTTTATGCAGCTCATTTTCCACAGGGTCCTTCACCACATCAATGTCTCGCCGACTCTCCCGCAGGGTCAAGCACTCGATTGCTACATCCAGAGGCAGGTTCTTAGCCTGCAGGTTTTGCTCTGCTGACTCCTTCATCTAGAAAAGAGGGGGCACAGGAGGCTGGTGGAGCCATCCATTGGAAAGCGCTTTAGCAGAGGAGCCAGTGAGACTCAGACAGACATGCCACCCACGACCCCATCAAGGGTTCCCAAAACCCAGAAGTGGAGAAGGCAGGGAGGTCTTTGCAGCAGTCTCCTGGCACCCAGCCCTAGCTCCCTGCCTGTGTCAGGGCATCAATCTCAGCATCTAAATCTGTCAGACACTTGTCCAGCATCTCCTTCCACCGGTTGACAGTATCAATTCTCTCTGCCAGTCGAGTCCTATTGTCATGTTCATCCCATATGGTCTGGAAGAGACAAAGGTGGGTAAAAAGGGTGTTGCTGGTTGGGGGCTATCCCTTTGCCCACCCAACTGGGCTCCTGCGCCAACCTGGTTGTTGGTCTCGTTGCGGAGGACACGGGCCTCCTGGCGGATCTGATGGGAAGCATCTCGCTGCCGCTCAGCATTGGTGGACAACAGGTAGCTGTTGGTGTGCCAGTCGGACAGCTGGAAGCGCTGACTCGGCTTGACACTCAGCGTGGCCATAGCGCAGAAACCTGAAGGGTCAGAGACCCCGAGGAGGCCTGATCCAAGACGCAGCACCTGCGGAGGGAAAGCAGGGCTGCAGGAGACCATCCGGGAGACCACCTCCTGGATCAAATGTCTCCTCCTGGGACCTGCTCCTGTCCATTTGCTCTAAGTCCTTTCCTGCAGGAAGCCTGCTTGGGAACAGCCCTTGCTTTACCACAACTTTGTGTGTGTGAGGCATTACCTAAGCCGCCCACCCTCACCCCTAAACCCCGCAGGTCCTGGAGCAGGTAGAGGGGGATGATGGGGTTCCTGGTGAGTGTGTGCTTGTAGTACCGAGTGCCTGGTGGGGGGAGGGTGGTGGCAGGAGAGACAGCCCTTAATCCAGTTGCCACCCCTACTTGCAGCAGCCACGTCTTGTTGAGTTTGCTTTTCTTTCTTCCTCGGCTGTGGGCCAGGCCCCACGGGGGATCTGAGAGGCGAAGGAGCCCTGTTCTCTCCCAGGGACGTGCCGCGGCGTGGATAGGGGCTGGCAGCAAGGAGCTGGGTGGGGGTGAGGGCGCCGGCCCCCTCGCTATCCTGCTGTTGCACTCCCGCCCGCCGATGGAGGAGCCGGGGTAGCTCCCAGCCGAACCCCTCCCCTCGCAGGACAGTCGTTTTGGGTTTAAACCAGTACCCCGGCCCTGGCGCGGAGGAGGGAGGGAGAGAGGTAGGGCCCTGCGTGGGAGCCCCGCCGCCCGCGCTCCCCTCGCCTCTCACCTCCTTGCGCCCCCTGCGAGCTCCTCTGTTGTTTAGCGCCGCCGGTTGCTAGGCAACCGCCCCCGCCCCGCTCCGGTGACCACAGACCTCCGGGTTTAGCTCCGCGACCGCCGCGGCGCGGCGTCCCCAAAGGCCTTTACAGGGTAGGAAAGAGGCGGCCGAGCCTGGGGGGCGTGGGGAGGAGGGCGTCAGTATAGCGCATTCACTTGACTTACAAATTACACGCTCATTTTGATAGCAGTTACCCATCGACAAGGTAAAAAATACGAACAACGCATAGAAGTGACGTTGTCCCGCTCAGCCTCGCTCCCCAGCAGGTCTCCTTATAGAAATGGATATATATATATATATTTAACATTATTTACACACGTTCCCCGGATCCTGCCTTGCCCCACAATTTTACCTATCAGCTCGAAGGCATACAAGGAATGGTGATCGTATTTGCAGAGGGTACACCCTGGGAGAAATAACAGGGGTGTTAGAAGCAATGTTCGAAATTCAACCGTTTCTTTAAAAAAAGAGAAGGAAAAAGGGAATTCAACCGTGCGTTATCATGAGTACTATTCTAGGCATTGGAAAAACGTTAACATTTAATCTTCGAACTAAGAGGTGAGGTAGGCAATATCCCCATTTTCGCAGTAACAAAGGAGACGTACACTGCTAAGATGCAGGGATAGAAACCCAGTGGGGTCGGATCCCCAGGTTTTGTTTGTTTGTTTTGGCGGCTGGAGGTAAGGGGATCCGAACCCTCGACCTTGGTGTTAGCCCCACGCTCTAACCAAGTGAGTAACCGCTCAGCCCCCTGCAGATTACATTCTCTCTGTTTGGCTCCACACAGCCGCCAGTGGTGGCGCTGGAAATAAGAGAGGAAAACAAGCCTGGGACCTGGGCCTGTTCGGAGGGCTTTGCAAGACCAATCCCGTGAGGTGGGTACTACTATCATCTTCGTCTTAGAAAGAAACTGAGGCACAGAGCAGTGAGGAACATCCCCAGGGCCACATAACTAACAAGTGGTAGATCCTGGATTTAAATGTAAGGCAATCTGTCCCAGAGGCCAAGCTCCGGTTTGATGGATAAAGGAAAGTAGTCCAAGAAGAATCCTTCTGTTTGAAAACCTCAATGATTAATGGGATGGTTCTGTCCTCAACAGAGGCAAGAAAGGTAGAGAACCAAGGGCTTGGTTGGCAAGGGGGGAAGACGTTGGCTTTTGGGAAGTTTGAGTTGCTTGTGGTGGGTTCAGGAGCTGTCCAGAAAGCAGTTAGAACTCCAAGTCACTGAGGCTAAAACAATATTTCCTCAAACTCCCTTGACCACAGAATATTTTTTTCCACAGAATATTTTAAGAACTCTAATACATGGCTCATAAACCAGACATGAACAGGAGTTTGTAATATAACTCCTTTACCAGGATTAAAGAAGACAGAAGAAATGGTCTTGAGAAAATTATTTGCTGGAAGAAATGATCAAATTTTGGCTTACATGTTTTGAAACATTTTATAACAGAAAGAAGTAAACAAATATGGCAGAACTGTGGTGGCTTTGGCGTATACCTTTGACTATAGTGGTGGCCCTGATGTTCGTGGCTCATGGGGTTCCTGCCCATCCTGCCCGAGGGGAGAAGCTGTTAGCAAAAAAGGTCAGCCAGTTGATGGAGTGGACCCAGAAAAACAGAGTGGTACGGATGAGTGGCACCGTGTTCAATCATTTTGTATTAGAAACACCAAGAAACTATTCTGTTATTGTGATGTTTAATACTCTCCAAGACTTTAGATCATGTGTAATGTGCAAACATGCCACTAAAGAATTTCAGATCTTGGCAAATTCCTGGCAATACCCCAGTGCATTTACCAACAAGGTATTTTTTGCTGTGGTGGATTATGATCAAAGCTCTGAGGCCTTCCGAATGCTCCAAGTGAAGTCAGTTCCAAGTTTCCTCCACTTTTCTGCTAAAAGGAAATTTATATTAGATGACGTTTATCATTTTAATAAAAGGGGTATCGTAGCTGAGCAAATGGCTGAATGGGTGGCTGAGAGAACAAATGTCAACATCAGAATCAGACAGCCTACAAATTATCATCTCTTCAAGATGGGGATACCTTTAGCTCTCGCTGGTGGACTTATGTATTTGTTGAAATGGAATAGCAAATTTATTTTTAGCAGAATTTTATGGGCAGTTTTAACTGTGTGTTTTGTGATTGTGAAGACATCTGGTCAAATGTGGCCTCATATAAAAGGCACACCATATGTTGAAAGGAATCCTTACACAGGACATATATATTATATGAGCAAAACTAGTTACTCTCAGTTGGCAGCAGAAACATACCTCATTTCTTTGTTTAACATGTGCATTACCCTGGGAACGGTGCTAATAGATAAAGCCGCCACGTCTAGGAGGAACATCGTAGAGAGGAAGACGGTGTGTGTGAGTGGCGTATGTTTGGTTATAATATCGTTCAGTTGGCTGCTCTCCCTCCTTAGCTTTAAAGAACCTGATTATCCATACAGCCTTCTCATGGGTTAAAAGGGATCCTAAGAGACATAGACAATGAAGAAAGAAATATGAAAAAATGTGACAAAAATGGGAAGCAGAGAAATGTGAACTCATAACTTTTATTAAGTGATTCTGATTTAACCAAGAGATAACATGAAGTGCCTTGACAATAATAAACCATTTGCTCTCAAAATCTGTGAAGTATTATGGTATGTATTATCTCTGTTCTTTTCCCCTTCCTACTAAATGCTATAGATTACGTAATTTAGTGAAGTCCAATGATTAAAATCCTTACAGAGTAAGGATTTTATAGAATTAGAATAATGTTTAAAAGCATTTTAGTTAATACTGGTCAGTTGATCTTACTCTAACATGAAAAAGATTTTGACAAGGTGGCCCCCACATCAAGCCGTTTCAGATAACTGTGTTATCTTTCCATAGAGGTGTGTATTTGCCCAGACGGTTTTGTGGGTGGAGAGACCAGTTGTATTATATCGTTCCCTGAAGTTCAAGTATCCTTCTTTAGAGACACTTCCAATGCCTAGAGGCCAATATAGTACTGCTTAGTACAACATCCTCCAAGTCTTTCCTACTGAAATACACTACTACGCTTCTTGATAGTTGTAGATATTACAAATTAATTGAAAACTGGATTACAATTTCTCCTTGATTGTTAACTACCTTTCGTATGGAACAACTTCAGATAAGTTACCTTTCCTTTTTTTTCAAGTGGCCAAGCTCTACAAAATAGTATTTTCTGTTTTTCTGTTGGCTTTGTTGACTTGAGGTTGTTTTCTGTTTCATTTAAATCTAACAGAAAAATAGTTAAATAAAGACAATTCAGAAGATGAATGATAGTTTCATTCTGTTTAGGAGCATGCTAAAATATCAAGTTATTTCCAATATGCAGAAATGCAAAACTGAACATCCTAGAATCAGTTCCATGTCAGCCTTTTTTCTCTCTTAAGTTGAAAAACAAGGTATAAATTTGAAGACTTTTTTTCTCTTCATCTTCCTTCTGTCATATGTAGATAATCAAAGTTAAGTCCTAAACAGGTTACTAATGTGCTTGGCAAATTACAGCAAAGATTTAAGTTGAGATTTATTATTAAATCAAACTCCACCCTTCTCTCTGGAAATTGCTATTTTTGAAATGTAAAAATGTTTTTCAAACAACAACTTAATATTACATTAGAAGATTGGCTGTTTTCAGTCAAGTAGCCCTTTTCCAAGGTATAGTTGAAGATTCTTTTTTTTTTTTTTTTGGTGGCTGGCTGGTGTGGGGATCCAAACCAGTGACCTTGGTGTTCGAAGGGTGCAGTCTAGCCAACTGAGCTAACCGGGCTGTCCCGTATAGAGGTTTTATGAGTTGTTTGCCAAGAGAGTTGAATATAATCACCCCAGAGTAACTTACATTTTTTTTCTTAAAAGCGGGTGGGTAAGAATAGTCGACCTCTCTCACCTTAGACAATTTTTTTTGTTTATTTATTTTTTAGGTGGCTGGCTGGTAAGGGGATCCAAACCCTTGACCTTGGTGTTACCAGCACTGCTGTCTCCCAGGTGAGATAACTGCCAGCCGGCAACTTTTTTTTTGTTTATTGCTCTACAGGAAACTGCTCGACTCTGGTCTGTTTTCCAGCTTACTTTTCTCCTGGTCTTGCACTTTTCTCAAGCCAAATAAATTCATGTTGTGATCCTCAAGTTTGAGATATGGCTGAAGCTAACTGGTTTTGTATAGCATACTAGTCAGAGAAAAATAACTGCTGCTTCAATTATACAGCTGCAGATGATTTGCTCTGGAAGGTTGAGACAATGATTTTCCTTCCCACTTGATTTCCATATCTTCAGAACCCACTCTTCTTCCATGACAGAAAAGTCTCTGGGTTAAAATGAACGGAAAGCAGCTTTGCTGCATTCAAAGTAAAGTGTTAGGGCCGGCAAATGGTTAGATCAGTAGGTTAGATCAGTTGGTTAGAGTGAAACCTTATAACACTAAGGTCATGGGTTTGGATCCCTGTACCAGCCAGCCACCAAAAAAAAAAAAAAAAAAATGAAGTGTTGTACTTTTGCGCAGTCTTTCAAATTAAATTATTAAATTATTGTCTACTTAAAGGGCCTTAAGTAGATGATAGTTAAGAATTTTTTACTAATGGTTTATATATCACCTATTAATATATTTTTAAGAATATTATTCAAGGGCCGGCCCGGTGGCGCACTGCTACAGTGCGCCGCTTGGGAGTGCGGCGGCGCTCCTGCCGAGGGGTCGGATCCCACGCACAGACCAGCCGCTCACTGGCTGAGTGAGGTGCGGGCGCAGCACCGAGGGTTGCGATCCCGTTGCCGGTCACAAAAAAAGACAAAAAAAAAAAGAATATTATTCAAAAGGATGCCATAGATGGCAAACTTTTATAATCTAAAATCTTTATAAAAGTACAAAAATAGGGACGGCCCGGTGGCGCACTGCTACAGTGCGCCGCTTGGGAAGTGCGGTGGCGCTCCCGCCGAGGGTTCGGATCCCACATACAGACCGGCCGCTCACTGGCTGAGCGAGGAGCGGGGGCAACACCGAGGGTTGTGATCCCGTTGCCGGTCCCGGTCCGGTACGGGCGCGACACTGAGGGTTGCGATCTGTTGC